CCCCCCCCCCCCCCCCCCCCCCCCCTCGCCTTGCCCATTTCGACTGTGCAAAACGAGCCGCATTCGGAACCATAGCCCAAGTGGTACCACGTATCAACAGCAACCATCCATTCGCAAAAGCTACCGATAACCTCCCTCCCCCTCATTTGAAGGATACTTTGACTAGCTGGCATACATCAGCACCAGTTTAGCATCGAAACAAATGAACGAATCGTAGAGGGATTGGTTGCCTCAGCGGCCGAGCCGAACTTTCGATGTACTGCATGACAACAGCACTGTTTTTCATAGCATCCGACCTACTAACATTGATGGAAATACGTAAGGAACAGTTGGTACAGATGAACACACAGATACATATGCACAGACACATGCGCACACACAGACATTCAAACAGACGCACACACACACCCAGATAGATACAGACACAAACACAGACGCACACAGACAACCCCTCGACAATATGCATTTTTGCATTGCATAGATGCAAAAAAGTCGCATAAAAAGCAACTCAGAAGACCCATTTTTTCCCGGTAAATATTGTAGGAACAACGTGATTATAACAAGAAAATCAGCTCTGAAGATTCTCTTTCCAGGTAAGTTACACAGAAATGTCGAGAGGGAAGGAATTTTAAGCGAACAAAAAGCTCACCTTTCTGAGTCTCCCCTTCGCATACATCATTCATTGCATGTAATCTGCAAAAAAAAAACGCATACAAATGCACAGCCCAACAACAAAAACGCGCCCCTACCCCACGTGAAAGGAGCCACATCCCACCATCCCGTGCATCACAAAACCAAAAGAGTGAAGTCACAAGTGAGAACTAGAAAGTAGGGGGCCGTGGCTGGTAATTTGTGGCTTGTCCCTCTAACGGACTATCTCTCATTTGGTAAATTGGGGTTTGGGCAAGGTCTAAACTAAAGTAATTCTAAGTAGCAGGATTACAACTCTATTCCTGGTTTTTGCATAGTTCCATAGCGAAGGGAAGGGGGGGACTCTTCTCCTCACCCCCGTTGCTTCTCAAGAGTCCCACTTTTCCCCACCGTTTCTTCTCCCCCTCCCCTCGCCCCAGAGGACTTCGTCCTGGGTCGCCCATGATTACAAATGTTGGTTTTCCCAGGCTTTTGGGAATGTTTCCCCAACTGGGGGCTGTGCTGCCCAAAAATTCCCTTATTTCCGTAATTTTCTTCATACTAGTTGAGGGACGGAACAAATGCAGTTTTCTCTAATTTAGTTTTCTTTGTACTGCTGTGTTGTCCCTTTCTGTGCGGAATGATGAGGTTTTTCTTGCT